CCTCTTCCCTGCTCTCAGGAAGAGCAGAGTGTAGAGTCTATGGGCATTGCTTCTGAGGTGGTAGAATTTCCCAATAGTCAGTCATCTGGGTCCTATCTATTCCCATTGAACCCATTATCCCAGAAGGGTGTGTGCTGATTACTTCAACATGTGCTATCTGCAGCACAAGCCAGGTAAAGAATCTGACAAAAACTGCGCTTTGAGAAGCAACTGCAATCTAAGTCAGGTAAACGGATGAAGGATGTGTGATTGCCCAAAAAGATTCCATATACTTTGCTCTTTTACCGCAGTCTCTTTGTCTGGACTTTCTCATGTGGTTGGTCCCTGGAGAGGACCACGTTTGCTATTACCTTTTCTATTTTTCCAGACAAGGACTCTTGAATGTTCCTTTGGCTTTCAGCAGGAACTTTGCATACTGTACTCTTTGTCTTTCCCTTTGTCCCTTCTTTTTAAATCCTTCTCCCCTTTTCACAACTGCAGACTCTCAGTCCAAGCAAACCACCCCCCACTGATGTTCATGCATCTTTCTGATCAACAAAATGAGCCCTCAGACCAAGTCTAGCTTTACGCTGTGGTTTACCCACATGAGTCTTGAGAGGGTCAGGTTGGTTTTTGCACTTGGCTCACTTTTGTACTGCACACTTGTAGAGAAGTAGACTACTTCTGCAACTTCTGTGCTGGGTCTTAGCCTTCATTGATACTTACACCTCTTATGTCAAAAAGCATTTTGTCTTTTATTTCTCAATGAAGGATATGAGAAATAATTTTACATGTCTAAAGTGTGACTTCAAAACAATTGTGAAAGCTTAAGCTTTAAGGTCATCAAAGGACTAATTAAGCTTTCTAAAATCCTCTGTGAAATAAAGCAGAGGGAGGAAGGAAGGAAGAAAGAAAGGAATGGAGGGAGGGAGGGAGGGAGGAGGGAGGGAGAGAAGGGAAGGGAGGGAGGGAGGAAAGGAAGGAAAGTTGGATGGATGGTTGGATGGATGGATGGATGGATGGATGGATGGATGGATGGATGGATGGACATTTTCAAAATTATATTTACTAAGTCAATATTAGTTGAGCACCTACTATATTAAATGTTCTCTTCTCTCTCTCTTTCCCTCCCTCCCCCATATCTATTGGTCCTGTGCATCCTCTTTCATAATTGTCTTGAATTCAGCCCTTCTACCCCATTACTGTCATTCTTCCCTAATCCAGACCCTTCTCATATCTTGACTGAAGTTTTACAATATCCTGATTAATTTCCTGCATTGGCTAATGTAATCTCATTTTCTTTGCCATGGCCTTTCTAAAACAAGAAACTGATCATGTCACTCTCCCGCATCACAACTTCTAATAGTTCTCTCTTACCTACAGATAAAATCCAAGTTCCTTGCTCTGGCTTACTCGCTGTTTGGTAGTCAATCACAATTTCCATCCCTGGTCTCATTTCTCCCTGACTCCTCCACGCACTCTGTGTTGCAAGCACACAGACAGCTTGCCAGAAAAGGCAGATTTGATTTCAAAATGTCACATGCTAGCTCTATAAAATTGGTCTAGAGTTGCTCACTCTTTCTGAACCTCACATATTTGCTCAGTAAAAGAGAAGTTGGTTATAAATGATCAGGGTTATAAAGATGTTCAATTAATATCAGGAGCCATCTAAATCAGCTAGTTTTCTATCTGTGTTATTGTAGTGTCATTCTCTCCACCTGAGAATACATCTTTTTCTTCTCCATGTGACAAACTCTGGTTTAGATCCAGATTAACAGGAATCTTTTCTATGGCCATTTTGCTGCTTCCCCCAACTGAGTAAAAAACACTTTCTTCTTTGAGCTCCCACAGTAACTTAGGGATTGTGTTATATGCTGATATGATTTGATATGACATGACATGATGTGACATGGGATTGTAATGTCCTTTGAAAAAGAAAATGCCTCTTTTTCATCAGTACCTCAACCTGGTATTTAATAGTTTCTCAAAAAATACATATTTATTAAATTAATATAAGGAAGTCGGCTGGCTCTCAGTCCAGTTCTTGAAGAGCTCATAGTCTTCAAGGACATGAAACAAACAATTCCACACAAATAATCACAGTGCAAATCTGACTCGACAAGGAGCTCTGTTGGAGGTAGAATCGAAGTGAATGGCAGCCAGCTCTTCTGCTGAGAAACAGGGAAGCAAGGAAACCTTCACCAGGAATGCACATCTGAGCTGAGTCCTAAAACATACGTGTGAATTGAACTCCCAGTTTTGCTTACCCCACTCATGTCTTTATTGTGCTCATTGCTCATACCCCTAAGAACCCTAAACTTTGGTGGCACAAGGTCAGAGACTTCTTAAACTTTGTCCAGCCATTCCAGGAACTATCATGAATTAATAGTTTTCCATAATGCAACTTTGATGGCAATTTAGTCTTGCTTACAAACCTGTTGCCTATAAATTACTGGAAAACCAGCAAATCTTTGAAAATGAAAACAAACTATACCAAGAAAATAAAGATTTGAAAGTATAGAGCTATAAAAATCTTATGTTCATTATATATCTACTGAAGAATGGATATTTTTAGATTCTAAATAATTAGACTGCCCAAGTGAAATTGAAAAATGATGAACCATGACATACTAATCTATTTTAACATGATATATAGGTAATTCTTGCCCTTTTTTAAACATTGGGAGATAGGCAATAAAATTTTGAATACAGGATTTTTTAAAGAAAAAATTTTGTAATATGATCAGCAATGAAAGTCTAGAAATGTTCAGTGCATAGTGCTGAATCCCATAGAGCATAACTATAATCATAAGTTAGTATTTTGTACTATCTTCTACATCTATCACTTTTCTGATTGAAAAACTTGAACAAATATTGCAGTACTTCCCTTATTCCAAAAGTAAATATCTCCATTTTCTGTCTTCATTGGAGTCATCACATGGCTTCCCTGATGACAAACCAACAATGTGCTAACAATGATAATCGTAGCTGCCATTTTTTCAAGTTATTACAATGTACCAAAAAAAGATTGTATGGAATGTTCATTACAAACTTAAACTCTTATTTTTTTACTCCCTACATCACTAAAACTCTATTTCACACCAGAAGCTTAGCAAGGTTAAAAAGTAAAGTTACCTAAATACTGTTGTGAGAGTTACCAACGTACTGCTGAAGAAACAAAATGTGGCTATTTAGAAAAAAACAAAAATGGTATTGGAAATGTCACAACCTGAAACAGGAAAAATTCCATTTCTTTGAGTCAAGAACAGATTTTCAGCAGAAAATTTGGTCATCTTCATTCTCTTCACATCCCACACACAGAATTCCTGTGTACTTTAGTTTCCCAAGATGTCACCTTCTTCGTGTGTTCAAATAGCAGATGGGATTATGAGGGGACCTGCTACCAGCTCTATCCAATTTCAGGGGACTCATAGCAGGTTGTTAAGAAGAGAGCTTATGTCTGATTCTGTCTCTCAACTTTCATACTATCCACCCCCAAATTGATAAGTACTTTCCAGTACTTGACATAGTACCAAATACAATCATTTGGTTCCAAAAGCCGATTGGTTTATTTATTGCTTTTATATGAATTTTATGATTTTTTTCTCTTTTATTAAAAAAATCATATGAAAGATTAGAAAGGATAATATAATGGCCTCAGTAGCCAAACTTCAATAATATCAACTCAGGAGTCAATATTTTTCATTTATACCACCCTCCTAATATTAATTGTGTTAAGTATCTTCGTGATTCCAGAGTCAAATCTATAGGAAGAATATCATTGATCAGAGAAGATTAGCTTCTATCCACATCCCTCTATTCTCTCTTTCCTCTATAAAGACCATTTTTAACTTATTGTTTACCATCTCACACCAGTGAGAATGGCACATATTAAAAAAACTAGCAACAACAAATGTTGGCGAGGATGTGGAGAAAAAGGAACTCTTGTGCACTGTTGGTGGGAGTGCAAACTGGTCCAACCACTATGGAGAGCTGTGTGGAGATTTCTGGACCTACTAAACATAGAGCTTCCATATGATCCAGCAATTCCACTCCTAGGTATTTACCCAAAGGACACAGAAACATCAATTCCAAAGAGCACCTGCACTCCTATGTTTATAGCAGCACTGTTTACAATAGCTAAGCTTTGGAAACAACCCAAATGCCCAAAAATAGATGACTGGATCAAGAAGATGTGGTACATATATACCATGGAATATTACTCAGCATTCAAAAAAGATAAACACATGCAATTTGCAGCAACATGGATGGCGCTGGAAGGGATCATGCTCAGCGAAATAAGCCAGAAAGAAAAAGAAAAATACCGGATGGTCTCACTCATAGCAGGAATCTAGAAAACTTAAATAAGGGACCAGGAAAATGAATATAAGAAAGTGAAAATCAAAATCAACAAAAAACTATGAACCAGAGACACTTTTTGGGGGTGGGGGCGGGAGGGGAAGGATTGGGGTCAGAATGGGGCGTTTGCAATTGTATGGGGGAATATAAAAATAAAATTTAATATTTAAAAAAAAAAAAAAAAAAAAAAAAAAATATTACAATGTTAAAAAAAAAAAAATACTTTTTTAAATAAGCAAATGCATTTATATGTTAATGCCCCCTTTCTGAGAGAAACAACGCAGGTCTGCTGATTTTCAAAATAAAGTGTTTGGAGGGTAAATGTCAAAACTGTTAGTGGACTTTTAGACCAAAAAAGTAAAACATGATACCTTACCTATTTTTTAAATAACTATTTGAACACTTTACAACTTGCAGTGTCCCTGGTTTGTTTTCAAAAAGAGTTGGAAAAGGCAGTAAATTTTCACTAAAAGACTGAAAATTGCAAAAAGGCAATAATGCATTTGCCTGGGGATTTTTAAATAGATAGTAGTATTAAAGATACCCTAATACAACTGGAGAATCTCCAGAATACATTCCCATAGTAAACACACTAAGAGTAGATATTTTTGAGCACGCTGGGATTTCTTTCACAACCCTTGACTTGATATTCTTTCTCATAGATCGAATTGCACAGAACATCATTAAATCCCATTTGGAGACATGTCAATACACCATGGAGGAGCTACACCAGCTGGCATGGCAGACCCACACCTATGAAGAAATTAAAGCATATCAAAGCAAGGTATTCTGGGAAGCTATGGAAAAGTTTCCTGTGGTTTCACTATCTCTGGCATTCTCAACCTTGGCACCACTGACATTTTGGGATAGACAATACTTTTCTGTGGAGATTGTCTTGTGTATCACATGGTATTTAGCAGCCTCCCTGATCTCTACTCACTAGATGCCAGTAACAACTCCCTTACACACTGTTAGCTGATCAAATTGCCAAATGTTCTCTGAGAGGCAAAACCACCCCATTTGAACCTCACTATTCTCTCTGAGTGACCAGGGAGACTGCCAAAATCAGATGATTTGGGGACATCTCATGGCTTCCTGGGGCCAGGCAAAGAGCAGTAGCATTTGGGAAATCACAGCAATATTAATAGTGACTGATTTTTACTGCAAAGAGAGAAACTCAATATGCTTTTTCTTGCCTTACATGGTTAAAAAAGACCAAAGATAGGTCAATCTGCCTGTTTTGTTTCCCACTCTGTCTCTGGTGAATCCTCTCACCCCCACACCTCTGGCCTGTAACCCCACAATTCTTGTATGCATAAAATAAATAAATCTTCGGAAAAAAAAAAAGACCAAAGATAAATGACACCTTACTCTGCATTGTTATTATGATTTTACTATCACTACTTTATTTCTTTGTATCCATCACAAGTTTTAAGAGAAGGAATTCATCGTTGTTATTACTGCTAATATTCTGTATTCACATTATTTTATTTTGGGATTGAGATCTTCAATTGCAGATCTACCAGTAATGGCATTTTAATAAAATCTATGTGTATCTATATCTAATATAACATTACAATACACTGATTTTTCTCCTCTGGAACAATTAAATCTTACCAATTTTACACAAAAAGGAAACAGCATAGGAATTTTTATGGTCGATAAAAAGCATAATTAGCACATATTTATGCTTCTTATTCTATAAAGTAAATAAACAGTGTAGGATCAAAACGCATTTCTGGAACTCTATAGAACTTAAGAGATTGATTTATTTTGATAACTTTTGCTTTGAAATTCTTTGTATGCCAAAATTAAGCCCTGTGATTTCTGGGAAAAGACCACAATGTGAAAATGTGGTATGTTTAGTATCTGTCAGGTACACATAAAAATAACCCCGTGGAAACCTGTGAATAAAATCACTATTCTTCAGTGCAAGGGTTTATTTTTCTAAAATGAACTAAGCTTACATTTTTTTAGGTTGAGCAGAAAGAAGAAAAGTAAAAAAAGTGTAAAGAAACTATAAATATCTTCAGATACAAACTGAAATGTTGCCATTATTTTAACCTCAATACTATGATAATTGTAGTGTAGCAAGTTTCAAATAGATCAAAACATTATCTTAGAAAATATTGTCTCTTTAAAGGGAATGGTGTATATTCCCATCAAGGGTCCCAAGTGAAAGGTAAGCACCAGTAGGGCAAGCTTTCATATGTCATTGACTCTCCAAGTTGTTCTTTGCTCCACTCACATCTGTGTTTTCTCTCCTGAAGTCCAGGGAAGCTCTGTGGCAGCAATGCGCCATCCAGATCACTCACGCCATCCAATATGTGGTGGAGTTTGCAAAGCGGATAACAGGCTTCATGGAGCTCTGTCAAAATGATCAAATTCTACTTCTGAAGTCAGGTAAGCAAAGAGGAGGCTCATGGGGACCCTATTTTAGACAAGGATGTGGCCAATCCTTAGCACTGTGTTGATTCTAGAAAATCCTCCTTCCAACCTATGGCTCATTTTCACCACACACACTGTCAACCACCTCCCAAAAGGAAACTCTGTTATAAAAAATGCCCTGATACTTCAGTTCCCCTTTGAAGTCAAATACAATTTTGGTTATTGAAAGTGGAGCTATTAATTGCAGAGGTTGAGATACCCAGCTTGACAGGCAGAACAAGTAATTAGCGTGTCAAGGTAGCTGAATTGCTGAGCTAGCTCTAAAATGTACTACTTGCCTTCTGTGGAGGGAGAAAATCCAGGGTAGTTGCGTTCTGCCTCCGTGGTCATTTCCAATCTTTTTAATGAGGCTAGCCTGCAGCCAGTACACATGGGGAAAACTCCCCGTCGTTCTAATCTTTCCAACCCCTCCTCTCACAGTCTCTCTGACACAGGTACAATCACTTAGAAAGTAGCTCCAGAAACTCTGCACATGATTAATTCTGCAGATGTTATTACCCAAACAGGGAAAATATTGTCTCCCTGGTCCTGATTGAAAATAGAAAATAAAAACGACCGTGGTGTTTAATCTTCATATCCTGGGATATAGTAACAATAATAAGATAATTTTATACACATAACATACATATGTAGGTCTTTGTTTACCTATGACATCCCATTTAATTTGGGGGGTCAGTGTTTGTTATTTCCATTTTATGAAACAAGAGGTGAAAATTCAGAGAAGTATTAAGTTCAATATCATGAAGCCAATAAATGGACCAAATGGAATATTTATTCTAAGTTGCTGGTGCTGCTTTAACAAGTGATATAAGTTGATGCAAATTTTGACTCAAACATTAACCTGATGTATCACCTATTGCTGGGTAAAAATGACCCTAAAACTTAGCTCAGACAACAAAATTATTTTATTTGCTTCCAAAACTATAATTTGAAGAGGGGTCAGCAAGAAATGGCTTGTCCCTGCACCAGGCAGTGTTCACCAAGGCAACTTAACTGCAGGGGAATTTCCTTTCAAACTGACTAACTCATGTGGCAGGCAATTTGTGCTGATTAATAGTCTAGAGTGCAGCCAGGGCTCTGTGCTAGAGATCTCAGGTCCTATCCATATGAGTCTCTCCATGGTCTTCTTGGACTTTCTCACAACATGGTTGTTGGTTTGAAAAGCTAGCTTCCAAGAAGACAAGGCAGAAGTGTATAGTATTTTTCTGACTTAGTTTCACAAGTCACACAGTATTAGTTCCACCACACTCTATTAGTCACGACAGACATGAAGGTCCACTTGGGTTCAGGGGTAGGAGACATGGGTTCCATAGCTTAATGGAGGAATAGTAAGGTTCTAGAATAGGATGTGAAATGAAAGATATCTTTGTGCCTCTCTTTGAAAAATAGAACCTGCCACACTTGATGTGTGACCTTGATCTAACCTCTAAAGATAGCAGTTTCCTCATTTGTAAAATATAAAGGAGAACTAAAAAAAAAAAAAATAGATTCCAAGATCAGAATTGCAACTACAGTGTCAGAGGAGCTTCTGGCTATTCTGAATCATAGGTGTCATCTCTGGCCCATGGAATCTGAATCTCCTAGAGGGGAACCTGGTTTATTGTATTTGTAACTGAGTCCCAGAAAGAGAAAAAAAAAAACTATCTATGAATCATTTGAGTCCCACTAGATCACACAAGCTTTTACATTTCTGCCTGTCATAAAAATGTTAACCCTTATATGAAACTCTAATAGTAAAAAAAAAAATAAAAACACTGGTCACTCATACATAAACTCTTGAAGCCTCATCTATATGAAGGGGCTAAAATTCACCTGAAAGAGTATTGCAAGGAGCAAATTAAAAAAAAAAAAAGAAGAAAAGAAAGGGGCCAAGGAAAGTGCCTTCCTCATTGTAAATGCTTACTGGTATTTGTCATTTTTGTGAGAAAAATATTGTTTCAATTACCATTTGCAAGTTATCTCCTATGTGTTAGTCCTTGTGCTTGGTCACGTGTGAGGGAAGGCAAAGAAAAATTAGTAGAACAAAGGAAATAAAACAGACCTAAATATAAAATCACCCATGTGAGGCCCTGTAGTGCCAGGATGACCACAGAGCTGGTTCATCTATGATCCGAGCAGACTGGTAAAATTGCCCTGGAGCCCTCAGTGGCTTTCTCAGGCTTTTACTGAGCTTTTACATGTAGTGCAGCAACCAGGTACATGGCAGGCAGGGGTGCCGGGGGGCTAGAAGGCCAGAAGGCCTCCAAGCCCAGGCAAGTCTTCACTGTGGCCTTCTCTGGCTTTCTTCTCTCTCCTCTCTCCTGCCTCTTTCTTCTGCTTCTGCTTCTCTTGGGGAATATCTCAATACTGCTGCCATGGCCCACAGAAGTAAACCACACAGCTTACAACAATGTAATGACTGCAGGTGCCACATCAGGCAGGGCAATCATAATGGTGGGAGGGCAGAAAAGCCTGAAAACCATTTACCCTACAGGCCCTCAAGCAAATTTGTCACTTCTGAATCTGATTGTCACCTTCCAACACTCAGTGGCAGAAAAGCCCATTTCTCTAAATGTGGAGAAACTGCACAGCAGTTTCTGTCAATAAGTATTCAGAGGGGGAAACAAAGGTAGTAAATTCATTTATTCAATAAATATTTGATAAGTACCTACAATGTGCCAGGGACAATTCTAGGTCTTGGAGACATGGTACCTATGACTGCAGACAAGGGTCCTGCCTTCATCAGGCTGGCAGTGAACTCAGAGAAATGCTACATCCACCAAAGTTAAAGAAACTCCTTCATGTTAGGACTTCTCCAAGCTTCTTTCTGTGAATATTGATTTATAATTCCATATAGAGAGATGATATTCAACATTTTGCCAAAACTTTTTTGACGAAGAAGCCCTCGTTTCAAAGAACATCAAGTGTAATACGAGTCCCCAAGATACACACTGAAGGAGTCCTATTTAAAGCCATCAAATACAGGGCCTCCTAGGTGGCACAAGGGGTTAAGTCTCAGCACTACAAAGAAATCCGCAGCCACCACAGCACAAGTTCGATCCCCAGCCAGGGAGATGACCCACATGGCGCAGCAGACCTCTCCTGTCTTGCCCGCTGCTCCCCTCAGCAGTGTATTTCAGTAGATCTGCCTGTTCTGTTCCCCACTCTGTTTCTGGTGAATCCTCTCAAACCCCGCACCTCTGATGTATACCCCAGTTCTTGTATGCATAAATAAATAAATCTTTAAAAAAAAAAAAATATATATATATATATAAAACCATCAAATACTGAAATATACATGGCTATGTTCAAAGCAGAAGCAGAGAGCAGGTTCTTCCAGTAGCAAATTTCCTGCGAAAGTTAACAGACTAGATTGAACCTGCTTCCCGGACTGTCATCAAATGTAGATTTAAGAGTTGAAGCTGATTTTAATATTAGTAATAAAATAGAAAGAACTGTATGCTTTTTTAAAATGTTGTTGCTCCTCTCCATTTTAATCACCTTTATAGTATATTTTATCTTTAATTCTTCATATAAGCATCAAGAGAACTTTATTTTTAAGTTATTTTTTATTAAGGAAGGAATCTTGAGTTTTTGTATGTATGTGCCTATGTTTCTGTGTGTTCTGAAGTTTTTGGAAGTCTTTCAACTCTTTATTGCTGCACATATATGTATGCTTTATATATATATAAATATATATATAAATATATTTTATTATATATATATATATTTTAAATTTTTTCCCTCATAGGTTGCTTGGAAGTGGTTTTAGTGAGAATGTGCCGTGCCTTCAACCCATTAAACAACACTGTTCTGTTTGAAGGAAAATATGGAGGAATGCAAATGTTCAAAGCCTTAGGTAAGTTTTCCTTTGTTTTCAATGCAATTTTATTAGCTACCATTAGTTTTTCCACTCAGATTGTAAGTAGTAAATGAAAAATGATTCTTTAATGTGAGTCTCATTATTCCAAAAGGGTTCCACCAGGTGATCCTCCAGTGTTTCACCTAATTCTCCGAATCTTACAATTGGACATTATCCTAATATGGCAGAAGGAGCGAACCTTGAGCCCTATTGAGGCCAACCATGCCTCATTCGGAAACGAAGACGGATATTTTCTAGTTCGTTCCTTGTAGGACCAGCTTTTCTTTTACCTTCTAGTTTATTGCTTCACAAAGTATATTATATAGATCACCAGTGGTCCTCAGAGGTTACTCAAGTTTCTTATATAAATTTATAATCATTAGTTAGGACACTGAAAAAAGGAGCCCCTTTACTTGTTTGTCATCCAGAGAAGGGCTTGCTTTTTGTTAGTTCATGAAATTCTGGAAGCACAGGTCAAATGGGTGGCAACTTGTCAGGAATGATCCCCAGGCCATTCCTGTGGGAGGACAGGGATAGAGTCCATCCCTGTTGGGAATTGTGTATCACTCACATTCAGTTGTCAGTGCTTGGCGTGGTTAAGAAGGACATTAGCAAAGATGGGCTGAGGCCAGGAAAGGTTTTAAGGATTGATAGTGCCATTTGTTCCATGTCTTGCCTGTGGACATCAAAGAAGGCCGCTGCCCTTTCACCTTCTGTGCTGTTAGTTGATACAGCAGCCAACAGCAAGCCCATCAAGGCTGCAAGGTTATCCTTCTGCAGTTGATATACATCCATGTCATCTCCAAGGCTAGATTTTCAAGAAAGGAGGAAAACCCTTGGCAAGCAACTTGGGTATATTTCCAGCTTCATAAAATAAACATTTATCAGGATCAGTGTAGAGATGAAACACTATTTTGCCAAAATTTACAATGCCTAAGCAAATTGACCTGCTAGTCATTCATTAGAAGATAAAAATAAATGAATACTAGCTCCTCAATCAAATTTTCAGGCAGTTTCCAAATTGAAAAATACTTGTCTGTGTTATATAAAGAACAGTTAATACCTCAGTTTGAGGCCACTGTGTATCTTCCATTGCCAGGTTAAAGTGTGATTAATACAGACAGCCCTCAGTCCTAATCCATAATGTTTTAGGTTTCCTGTGAATGCTAACCTTATACTAAAGTTTTCCCAAATTACTTAAATTTTTCAGTTGGAACTAGGTTCAAATTTAAAAATTAGATTCAGGTTATGTATTCACAGATGTCACAATGGGTACACATAATTTCTATCTGCCCTCATTGATAATGTTAACATTCATTACTTGGTCAAGATGTAGCCCAATTTCTTCAGTCTATAATTACCACTAAATCACCTACTAGAAAGATCGTGCACATGCATGCACCCGCAGGCATAGTATACAAATCCTTGAATGACTTCTTTTTTAAGTGCTAACATACAAATGCAGTTGTAATAACTTTGTTAAAGTAACATTGTTTAATAGCACCATATGATTTAGAGATACAGTTTCGCACCTCTTTGGATATATATTAACCCCCTACACCCACCACCAAGGCACCCATAGTCCTGCACTGCATTCTTTGTGCCCCTCCCCCCTTTGCTGCTTTGTTATGGGATTTTACTATTGCTGCATTCTGTTTAAGTATTTTTATTTAATTCAGTTTTTTTTTAAATAGGTTCTGATGACCTGGTGAATGAAGCATTTGACTTTGCAAAGAATTTGTGTTCCTTGCAACTGACTGAAGAGGAGATTGCTTTGTTCTCCTCTGCTGTTCTGATATCTCCAGGTAGGGAGATCTGAAGTCTTTGCCTTTCTTTCCAAAGCTGTTTTACTATTTCTAACATGGACTACACCTGCCTAAGTCAAGCTGCTCAGGAGAAACTTTAAAGAATCATATTTTCTCTAGTAAACTTTTGATAATTTTGGGCAATTTAAAGTAAATAGAGGGCCTCCCCGGTGGCACAGCGGTTGAGCGCTAGGTTGCGAAGCTAACTGCAGCCTCTGCGGCGCCGGTTCGATCCCCGGCTGCTCCCCGGCCACCAGAGGAGGGTCCCGCATGGCCCGCAGACCTCTCCTGCCGCCCGCTGCTCCCCTCAGCAGTGTACTTCGGTCCTTCTGCCTGCTCTGCTCCCCGCTCTGGCTCTGGTGGATTCTCTCACCCTCCCGCGCTTCTGACTGTACCCAGTGCTGGTATAAATAAATAAACAAATAAATCTTTAAAAAAAAATTAAAAAAATAAAGTAAATAGAGACTAGATCTCTTTTGTTTGCCCTAACATATTTTTCAGTGAGATAGGAAAAATTAATCTCACCTCTAGTGGTATGCCTTGACATGTCTTCCTAGCTGTATGCACCAATAATACCAATCTCTTCATTTTTATCAGGCTTTATTTAATTATTGTTATGTCTCATAAAGACTTTTTCATTGGCTTCTGTTCTTTATTTAGCCAATTTATCTGAAAAAAATGGAAATTCATTATCACTTAGAATGTTATTACTAAAAGTTTCTTTTGTGGTTCTGTCTGAATCAAGTTAATTCTCTGGGCTTTTTTTTGGTTTTTTGTTTTTTTAATTCAAGAAACTTTCCCAAACCTGAAAACACACAAGTAAATACAAGAAGTGACAGGAAATATTTATTTCTGGTAGCAACCACATGCCAAATAATTTTCCTCCTAACATTTTCTCATCTCAATGGATTATTCCCATTGAGTATACTTAGGTAAAAGACTAGTTCTAAGCCTGTGGTCTGTGATGAGGGAGGTGGTTTCACTCTGATTCCTACTTACTCAAAGGATTGCTGCAAAAGTCATTGTCCTTGTGAGGTATGTTTGTGGTAAGTTAGTAAATACCTAGCAGCAAATATTTAAAACAGTACACATCAAATGTAAACAATCCATAAAGATAACTGTCTCACAAGGAAGACTAACCTCTTACTTATGAGTTAAAAATCACCTGAAAAGTTTAACCTTTTTCTAGAGAGAACATGCACCATCAAATTCTGTTGGATATGACATTTGGCTTACTCTCTAGAGTGGGGAACCTTCCAGCCCTGGGAGCAGACCCACCTTCAGGCACACATTCAGCAACTCTAAATACTTCACTTGCCACCATGGCCTAGGGTTATATTCAAAAAGAGAGGGAAGAGCTATTCGTGAGCCTATGTGGGTTCCCTCTCACACCAGACCCCACTCTTCCCCTCAGTTCTTACCATAATGGCCACTTGTTTATTCAGTTCCAAAGAATTTAGGGAAGGGAAAGGGAGGGAAACTTAATTTATTCTGATTGACAATTGCCACTGAAGACTTTTGTGCTCACTTACGTAAGGGGTTGCTTAACTGTTGGCTAAACTTGCCCTTGTCCTGTCTAGGATTACAGAATTGAGTTTCTCACCTGACCTGAACTGTGTTCAGAGGGATCATGGCCAAGTTCTTTTCCATGAGTATTTGTCAGTCTTTGGGGACTCTAGGTGTCTCTTCATAGAACCTAAGGCATTAGTGTTGGGCTGAATTTTGTCACCGTGGTGTATAAAGCTTCAAGGGAAGAAGGAAGAGAGGAAGGGGAAGGAGAGGAAAGAAAAAAGAAAGGAAAAGAGAAAGAGGGAGAGGAAAGGCAGTATTATTCTATGTACCACTTGAAAAATTAAATATAGAAAGAGTACTTAGGAATAAATTTTTGAAATTCATTCCTGCTTATACTATATAAATTATAACATAGTGTATAAAAGGAAAGGAGGGTCCTGAATACAAAAAAAAAAAACTCTTATACAAGAAATTTTCTTGAATTTTATAATTCATTTTATTCACAAGTAATGAACCTTTATATTGAAAGAAAATCTCAGTATATATCCAAAAGGTTGAGATGCAAATTATCACAGACAATAAAAAATGAGTTTATTTGCACCATATGCCTTTACCCCATCTTGATTTCCAGTATCAATGTATTAATACTGGAAAAGAGCATTGCTGTCTTTACCTCACCAATAAAATATTTAGGTTTTACATAAATAATCACATATCTTCAGGAGAAAGTCAGAGCTAAGTAATTTGAAATGGGTCTGAAACTCAGCCATGTGTAGGTGACACTAAACAAAGCTTACATTCCCTCTCCGCTAACCTAATTCTTTTCCTTTGTCAGATCGAGCCTGGCTGATAGAACCAAGAAAGGTCCAAAAGCTTCAGGAAAAAATTTATTTTGCACTTCAACACGTGATTCAGAAGAATCACCTTGATGATGAGACCTTGGCAAAGGTAGGTCCTCAGATCACAGACCCACTATCACCAAAAAGAGAGTATAGTGAGCAAAAGAGAGCTACTCATAAAGCAAAGGACAGTTCTCAACAGCAACAATTCCTGCAAGTTACATAATTTATGCAAAGGTGCATAAATTTTGCGACGCCCATTTTACTTTTTTATTTTAACTTACAGATTTTTTTTAATTGAGGTCACAATGACTTATAACATGTATATGATTCAGGACATTAGGTCCACACATCACCACGCTACATCCACCACGAGAGTCCCTTTCCCCTCTGTTCCTAACCCCACCTTTCCCCTTTAGTAGCTGAATGCTGCAGTCGTATTTCTAGGCTTTGTTTTGGTTTAGTACAGGTTGCTTTGTTTTGTGAAATCATCCAGCATCCGTCTTTCTCCTCTGACTTATTTCACTTAGCATAATCCCCTCCAGCTCCATCCATGTTGTCACTAATGGAAGAGTTCATTTCTTATGGTTGAATAATATTCCATTGTGTGTATGTGCCACATCTTTTTCATCCATTCATCTGTCATTGAGCACTCAAGTTGTTTCCAAAATCTGGAGGTTATGTTTTGAAAGGGAGCTTAGTAAGTTATAATGGATCGAGAGGAGAATGACTTTCTAAGAGAAGGCTGGTTTTGGCAGATCCCCAGGAATAGGAAGACAAATCAAAGGAACTGAGGGTTTTTCCTCTGAGAACAATAATTTATAGTAAGGAAAGAACTCTTCAAAATGTATATGTGAAGGAGAGGAGACTTTATGCTACTTTCAAGAGTCCAGTCTGGGCAAAATTTAAAAGCAGTTCATTTTTTTTTTTTTTTTTTTTTGAAAATAAGGAGCTGTAATGAGAATAGTTAGAGGGTTAGACCACTGTGTGAAGTAGCAAGTTCCCTGTCATAAGTTGTGTTATAATAGACAATTTTTGGTTTCCTTGGGTATGTTATAAATGGCAGTTCTACCTGGAGTAGATTAGACTGAAAACTTGGAAATTTTGCTCAATTCTAATATCGTCATGTAAGACTTGCCCTAAAGTTCTTTCAAAATGGGAAAGCATGTCAGAGGCAAATTTTATGCAACGCCCCAGTCAATTTATTGATCCAGCTTAACTGACAATAGTGATCTTTAAGAAGAATATGGAGAAACAGTTGTTGACCAAAGTAAAATGATCATAAAAGAAGTAATTTTCTAATGATGGATATGCAGCGTTATTTTAAAATTTAAACTATCTTTGATTTCTTAAGAACTAGAATTTTTAGAGAGTAATAAACTAGGAAATGGAGCTTATTCTTGTTAAAGATGATAGAAATCCTACTCTTTATATTTTTATCATTAAAACCCTCCCACTTTGCTCTTGAAGTTCTTTTCTTTAAAAAAGTGGGAAAACTATTTGAAGATACTATCAGATTTTTTCTTTGCACATGAACAGTACTGCTATAAAAAACCTCCATGAGTTAAATATTCTGCTTCATTATGGTAACATTTTGTTAAAATTAAGGCATCAAGGGAAGAACATCTCCACACTGTAGAGTGACAGTTCCCTTTGATGTAACTTTCCACTTACTATTTAGGCAAGGACAAATCACCTGCCCTTGCGCCTCAACTTTCTCATTTTGTCTCAAAGGTAAAACTTCTATATGTTCTCAGCATGTAGAACAGAAAAACAGTAGCGTGAATATATACATTTTTCTCTAGCACTGCTCTTTAACATAAATACATAAATACACCTCTCTAATTAACAAGGGTATATCCTACATTTGATATCTCCCAAAGACTTTGATCCCCTTTTTTACCACTCTAAAAGTAAGTTCTTGATAAAATCCAGAGTTAAACATCCTTTGCTTAGGACTAACGTCTACTTCTCAAAAAAAAAAAAAAAAAAAACCTGATGTCATCACCTATAAAATAAGGATTATAATTTCCTGTTCCTATACAAGTGTGTTTTTCAGTTCAAATGAGATATATACACTGCATAAATTTAAGACATCGAGAAATGATTATTATTCCCCAGGAGAGTAAAGTTCTCCTGCTTACGTCATTTTCTACCTCCTGGGCTAGCTAAGTTATGTGAGGTAGAAAGATTTCAGAGAAATTGAAGAATGAAAGATCTTTAATAACAAGGAAAAAAAGTAGTGTTAACTCTAGGTCAGCTCAACTCTCCTTCCTCAATCTGTAGTGAGAAAAACACACTGTTCAGCTCTTTCCTTCTGAAAAGAATGTTGCAACACTGAAGACAAAGGAAAGCATAGGAAAAGGATTATTTCTTGTATAAAATTAATTGGAGGCAGATGACAATGCATTGCTCCCACAGTTCATGTGTGGATGTTGGGTTTTTGTGTGGCCCCTTCCTTGTAATAGTCATCACTTTAATAGGATGTTGTTTGAACTAATGTGGAGGACCATAAAACAAAATAAGAACTGGATTCTTATTTATCCCAGCTCTGAACTATGTGACTTTGGATAAAGTCACTCCATTTGTCGAAATGTCATATTTCTTCGCTGTCGAGTTCTGGGAGATAGGGAAAGGGGCTAAGTCTCCAGATTACTTTAACTCTTTAAGGACAATGACATCATAAACATTTAAGGATACCCTCTCATTAAACCCACACTCCCCAAAAAGAGTAAGTGAGCCTCAGAAAAACTATTCTACCCTACCACAGATGCTTCTCATCATTTCAGAATGCTCCTTCTGCTTTTATAATCATGGAGCTCTTCTGCCTCCACAATATCTCCAAACAGTAATGACCCTTTTTGGTAATTATAGACAATTTATGGAATCTGGCACACTATCTTCAGAAAAATGTACATATACCCAGTTGTGATAGTCAAATCCAGAGGCTCAGGTTAAACTTCCAAGAAATGGGGCAGATCTGCCCTCTGGTAATGTACAAAGAATATTTTTACTGTTAATCAGTTTGGCCCCGAACAGATCTCAGGTGAGAGGTGTAGGACTCCGTCATTGAATTTCATCCTGAAAGAACAGTCTCCACCACATTTTCTACATGCCCATATCCTGAAGTTAAAGTATCCATTAGCTAGAAGGTTTCAATACCTATATATTAATCTGTTTATTTGCTTGTGGGAAAAAAGAAACCTTAGTAAAGAATCTAGTTTCTTATTTTAGATTATAATATGTAGCATATTTATAAAAAACCATTAGAACCACTTGCTAGCTGAGTGACACTTGATCAGTGACTTAACCTCTGCATGAGTCAGTTTCCTCATTTGTAAAATGTGACTAAAGATAGTAGCCATGCCATATAGTTATTTTCAAGACTAAATGAAGTCAAATATAAGCAAACTACATGATCCACAATAGGCAGTGTGACAGTACTGTTGTTGTAATTCTAGTGGATAGAAAAAATTTCATTTCATTAGGGAAGTTTTACTCCAAAAGATAGCATATATGGGCAAATAACTTGTGGATGAAAATGATTTCAAAAGACAAAAGTTGGGGGTTGAGAAGTGGAATATGGCTTCCTAAGTGATGGGGGCAATGACATGGAGGTAAGAAGGTACAAGGAATAGTGTGATCTGAATAACATATTTGACTGGATCCTGGATTTGAGAAGCTAGGAAAGGAGAAAACACTGGTCACTTTCACTAAAGCTCACAGAAAAAGTATACATATGTGTGTGTGTGTGTGTGTTTCATATATATTTTTAAGCCCCATCTGACTGGGGAGGCAGCCCATCTGTTCTCTGGGCTTCATTTTTCTTGGCTGGAAAATGAGTAGGTGGACTGAATGGTCGTTAAGTTTCCTTCAGTATAATATTCTTTGACTTCAAGAGTGAAAAAAGAGGTTCCTCCTGGCATCTTCTTTTGTCCTTCACTGCTCAGTCCAGGGTGATAACTTTAATGTATCTTTGGATGTTCTACCATTACAGTAAGTGAAGAAACAAACATATTTCACCAAGTCTTGAGATAAAGCAATGAATGTTAGAACTGCCAAAACTGGTGGTGAATATCTTCTCTGGCCTGTGGGTTTCCTTTATTATAATTCCCTGGCCATTCTTGTTGCCCTGGCCAGAGGGACAGAGGATGAAGGAGAAAAACAGGCCATTCCAGCCAAGGCCAGGTTGTGGCAACACACTCATGGTCAAATTCATGGTTTTTATCTTCCTTGGAGAAGTGACATTTATCTTTTCTTTTTATTGTTTTTTTTTAAAGATTTATTTGTTTATACAAGAACCGGGGTACAGGCCAGATTCACGGGAGGGTGAGAGGATTCACCAGAGACAGAGCAGGGAACAGAACAGGCAGACTGACAAAATACACTGCTGAGGGGGGGCAGCGACAGGAAAGGTCTACCACACCATGTGGGACCCTCGCCGGCCGGCCGGGATCAAACCAGCACTGCAGAGGCTGCGGAAAGCTTCACAGCGTGGCGCTCAACCACCTGTGCCACTAGGGGAGGCCCGCATTTAGCTTTTCTGCCCATTTTTTGATCTGGTTGTTTTCTGTCGAGTTGTGTGAGTCTTTTATAGGTCTTTAATATGGGCCTTGTGTCAGATGTATGGTATGCAAATATTTTCTCCCATTCTGTAGGGTGTTTGTCATTTTAGTTATGGTTTCTTTAGCTGTGCAATGCACTATTTTACTGAAACATCAAGGCCACAACTTTCATACTGCAAAAGAAACACTCACATGGAAACGGACTGGTAGGAAGTGTTTCTAAGAGTCATTATTTTTCTTCACAAATATTTATTGTAGCTAAAACATTCCAGGTATGCAAACATATATCACAAGTTCACCTGATATGGAGACAAAAACCTTAGACCTCAATGACTGCAATGAAAAGCAATGCATGATGAGAATCACATGACTGATCCAAAGAATGTGATAATGGAGAGTGGTTGAGCATTCAGTATGTGACAGGGACAGTACTCAGAGATTCTTAAAAACTTGATATGTAACTCTCATCTTACTTTAAAAGGAGAAGGCTGTTACTTCAAGTAATTATACATCTTGCCAAGGTTAACCAGCTTGTAAGGGGGAA